TAACTACTAACAGTACTAATACTAAGAACTACTTAACTATTAACAACTACTACTACTAACCACTACTACTTACTAACTACTACTATTTACTAACTACTACTACTACTAAGCCTACAACTAACACTACTAACTACTACTAGCAACCACTACTACTTACTAACTACTACTATTTACTAACTACTACTACTACTAACCCTACAACTAACACTACTAACTACTACAACTAACACTACTAACTACTACTACTAACACTACAACTAACTACTACTAACACTACTAACTACTACTACTACTACTAACACTACAAGGGTAGGGCTTACCTTGGCGGCAAGAACGGCAAGAGCGAGGGCCGGCGACGACGGCGGGGATGACCGCAACAGTGCGAGGATCAACGGGCGGTCGGAACGGCGCGAGGATCGATGGGCGATCGGGTCGGCACCTTCCTCTTCTTCCTCCTTCCCCTTCTCTTTCTTCCTCCTTCTCCCTCTGCTGGCCGGTCGTAGGGCACGGTGAGGCCGGTGGAGCTCGGGGCTGGCGGGGGAGCTCGGGGCCGGCCGGGTCGCTGTCCCCGGGGAGCTCGGAGCCCGGGGCGCCGGTGAGCTCGGGGCGGCGGCCGGGGACCCGGGGCACGGGCGCGGTCCAGGCGGGCGCTGGGCCACGGGCAGGGCGCGGAGGCCCGCTGGGGGCGCGGCGGGCAGGGGCTGGCGGGAGCGCTGGCCAAGGCGCCGGGCGAAGCGCCACGGACGGGGCGGGGTCGACGGCGGCAAGGCGCAGCAATGACGCAGGGGGTGGGAGAGAGAGTGAGGAGGGGGTGGGTTAATGCCCATTCTGGGCCTTTAGGTTGAAAGATTTGCCGAGTGCCGTGCCCAGTGACACTCGGCAAAGGTTTTTTTATTTTTTGTGGGCCTTGCCGAAAGCGCGCCCGTGACTGGCGCTTCGGCAAAGGCTTCTTCTTGTGCTTTGCCGAAATTAAGCCAACCTTTTCTGGCACTTTCAAAACTCTTAAAATTTTTTTTTTTTTTTCGCTTCCATTTTTTCTTTCGGCTTTACATTCGATAATTAAAACTCTATTTCAAAATTTGGGACAATTTTTAGTTTTTTTACTTTTTCTATCCTTAATTAGTTTTGTTTCGCTGAATTTTTTCACGTAACATGATTTGAAAAAGTTTTTAAAATTATATAATTCAAATTTGAAAATCAAAACTGCATGGAATATGTTATCTGTGTGCTTGAAAAATATTATTCATTATGGTATTTGCATAAAACATGTGCATCTCGACGTCTCTTGCTCAAAACATTCTCAATTTTTACCACAGCCTACATATGCGATAACATGACACATCGACAAGTTTCAAAATTTTTCGGATTCAGATGGACTTTATATAATTTTAAAACACTTTTCCGGCAAGTGACTCATCATGTTACGTGAAGAAGATGCGTGAAATTTGATGCGAGTTCGTGGATAGAGACTCAACATACACCAAATACCATTAATAACATTTTTCGAAGCACTAGATTACAATATTCCATGCACTTGCAGTTCAAATTTAAATTATATATAAAAATTCAACATAATCAAATTAATCAACCAAATATAACAAAAAACCTAGAAAAAGCACCAAATTTGAACATAAAGTTGTAAACCATGTAGGCGGGCCCAACAAAAATTTTGGGGTAAAAAAAATGAAAATTTGTCGAGTGGCAGCTTCGCACTCGGCAAAGACTGTCTTTGCCGAGTGCTGACCCAGGGACACTCGGCAAAAAAAAATTTAAAGAAATTTTTCAAAAACGTATAAAAAGCCTTTGCCGAGGGCCTAACGGTGATGCCCTCGGCAAAGATTGACGGTATGGGATGGCCATCGTGTCAAGCGGTGTTGCCGAGGGCCGGGCCTCGGCAAATAATTATTGTTGCCGTGTGCTTGGCTTTGCCGAGGGTCTGGCCCTCGGCAAAGAGTCTTTGCCGAGGGCTGTTCTGCCCTCGGCAAAGACTCTTTGCCGAGTGCCCGAGCATTTTCCCTAGGCAAATCCTCAGGCTCTCAGTAAAGTTGCTCTGTCCGGTAGTGGTTGCTAGCATGGCTTTCCAATGCAATGGCTTCAGATGAGCTGTTCCTGGAGCTTCCATCCTCGGCTTGCTGTGGCATTGCTTAGCTACTTTGAAGTTTTTGCAGTCTCTCGCTGCTCGCTTGGATGGACTGGATGGGCGAAGGGAGGTGTGTAGATTGAGCTAGGCTCCTGCCTGGCTCACAGAGAGCATAAATAGCACAACGCATGTATATTCTACCGGAGATAGCGGAGGTAGGTGTGGCAAGTCAATCGTGATACACCTGCAGTTATGGGTCACTGATAGCCTCACAACTGCAGAGACTCATCGGCCGCTAGGTGTTGAATCTCCGTTGGGCAGAAGCATGCATATGATGCACACTGAAACGCTCAATCACCTCTGCCTACTCTCGCGCATCTTCGTTCCCAAAACCCAGAGTTTTCACCATCTAATCTCCCTGGAAAAACGAAGCTCACCTTGTATATTCCTGAAGAAAACGTCAACATACATATACAGACTTGGATAAATAATGTATACAGACCAAAATGTTTTATTTGCGAGGACATAGGAAGTACAGTCAAATTTAAGTTGCTTCTGGACACAAGGGACAATGACACATACATCGAGAGATCGAATACAATCTCTATGACATCGTCATTGCAATGCTGATAGAGCTATCACGACGAAGTGTCAGTGTAGTAATTCTTCGCTTTCATTGGAAGGAAATGGTGCTTTATTCGCCCTTGCTACGTAACTCAGTTGATTGGAAAAAACAAAACAAAACGAAGAAGGAATCGTATATCTCTCCATCCATAACGGAGGAAGAAGAGAAAAGGGAACAAGTAAGATAGAACCAGACTGCACGGAGCACTGTAGTAGTGCTTGCACGTGTTAAGGCTTTGAGCTAGGGGATTCATCATCCTAGCTTGGGCGATGGTGACCCCTTGTGGTGGGTGCACGGATTTGTACCATGGGATATATATGGTGAAAAATGAAGTATAATCATTTTTTTTGCGTGGGTCTACTTGGGATTTTAGCCAAGAACAAGAGCTATCTCCGTGGTAACCCACTTCCCTTGGCATGTTTGTATGACTGGAATTTCAGTAAAAATAACACGTGTTAGTAAGGGTGTTGCAATTTTTTGTTTCATGACATGGCACCGCAACAGAGTTGAAAATGAAAGATAATATCACCTTCATGTCCTTAGGTGTGTTTGGTTTCCGAACCATGTGGAATGGGTTGGACCTAGGTTGGGTTAGACGCATCTCATGTTTGGTTCAAGAGATAGAGCCATTCCATTTTGTTTGGTGTGAGGGATGGAGTGGGTTAGGATGGATCTCATTGGTCAACACCATTACCCGCTATGTACGTGGGACCCAACTCTCAGCCACTCCCTCACTTCTTCCACCTCTCGTAGTTCACCAGGCGCAAGCACCGCAGCCATTATGCTGGCCCGCTGCGAGAGTGCTGCCCCGCCCCGGCGCCTTGACCCGCGTTGTCCCACCCCGGCGGCGAGCACCGCCCAGCACTATCCCACCCCAGTGGCTAGGCGTCGCCCAGCGCTGCCCTGCGCGGGCGTCCGGCGCATCTGGCCACCGCGCCCCAGGCAGGCCTGCGCGTGGCTAGCCTCTGCATCCCACACCGCCCAGCGCTCCCACCAGCCGCCCCCGTGCTGCCCACGATGCCAGTGCAAGCGACGAAGAGAGGGAGCAGGACAAGAAACGGAGGTCGCGACGTCGTCCAAGTGGGTCGAGCCGGTTTCTCCGATTTGTAGAGACCAAATCAAGACACATTTACTGGGAATACTCCCTATGTGGGATGACTCCAACCTAGAGATCCTGAAATCAAACACCTTTAGATCTGGGTCCGACCCATTCCATCCCACTCCAGCCCTCAAACCAAACGCACCCATTGAACATTGATGATCCTACTCGTCAACACCACAGAAAGTGAGCTGCAAATTCGTCAAAACAATACTGTTAGCCTGATTTGGTAGATGAGATCCCATTAATAATGCATGAAGATTTTCAATGTAGTCGTCCTCTCTAGAGCCAAACACAATGCAGGAAGATTTCCAACGAGGACGCGTCTTGTGTCTGGTGGTGTCTCTGCCAGCAGCTATATTTGTCTATCTATATTTCTAGAAGAAAGCAGCAAAAATTGGACTTTTCAAATAAAGTTTGGCAATGGGTGATACTTGTTGATTCGATGCATACATGAAGAAAACAGTTGTGATCCAAGACAATACTTGTTCACATTATTATAGCACAAGTCTCGATCGATGGAGCGATCCGTCCATCTCTGTCTTGTCTTCCACGAGGCAATCTAACTTTGTCCCCATCATTCATGTGCCATTTTTTTTGAACAAGTCATGTGCCATACTCCCTCCATCCTGACGATTTGTTGTGTGCAACTGTTGTGTAACTATTCCCTCTGCTTCAAACTATGACATTTTGCATTTTCTATGTTTGTAGTTTTTACTATGCATTTAGATATACACTGTGTCTAGATTCATAATAAAAATAATATATCTACAAAAGCCAAAACGTCTTATAACCTGGAAATGAGGGTTGGAGTACTAATTAAGCTCCCAAGGAACCGTATCTTATTTTTCTTTGAGAGTGAACAAGACATATTTCACCATTTCTTTTAGTTCAAATAAAAACAACCCTAACAGCCTCGCAATGCTTTCCGATCTCTCTGATACTCGAGGCTCATGTGAAGGCCAAAAGGGTAACGAGGAAGAGTTTTTATTTTTTTTAAAAGTGAGAATTTCTTTGAACAAACTACTAGAAACGCAAGGTGTTTGTTGATTATGGGCTAGATAACCCATGTACCTTTATCTAGGAAATAGAAATCCCATTTCCAAATCTTACAATGGATGACTTGTTTATTCATGTAAACACGAAAATATGATACAAAAAGCATACAACAAGATATAGAAAAACAGAGATACATATTATAGCACAAGGCCTGATCCTTTGAGCTTCTCTTCCACAATGCAATTTAGCTTTCTCCCCATCTCCTCTCTCATGTGATTCACCCAGTCACCCACCTTTCCTTTCCTAAAATATGATGACTTCTCAATAACTATGTTGCCAAGCCGAGCAAATTCTCCTGTTTGGTTTGTAGACAAGCTACTAGGCTTCTCGAAGCTGCACAACCTCACCACCTCCTCGGGTATCCCGTCCTCTATTTCCTTAATACTAAATGGAGCACCCAGGAACGTTGCAAGCCTTATGACGTACTTTGTTGGCTCTAAGGTCATATCCTCATACTTGAGGAAAAGAACATTATCAGGTTTTTCAATACTCTCCTCCAGTACTCGAGACAATGGTTCCAAAAGGGTCCATTGCTCGAGAAACCTTCAGTGAACATGTCGAATGCTGTTTCCATGTCAACACAGTGTCCCCTATGCATCTTATTATCAAAGTGCCACCGAGACACAAAGGCATCCTTAGGGTCTCGACAGATATACACAAGTCGACAACCACATTTGGCTATGGACTTCGGGAACAATGAAAGAGGCATATGAGTGGCAAGAAGCCTTGGGGATGGGAGGTTCTCCAAATAGGCAAGGTTCTCATGGGTAGGGGCCTCTATGGATGGTACCACCTCTTGAGGATGACGAAAAAGAAGAGGGTGGCTGCCAAAGTCATACCGGAAGCGGTTGATGACTGTAAAGGCGAGGGCTTTCAGCCATGTGGTGCCGCACTTGGGGTTGGTAGCAAGGATGACATCTTCCGGGCGAGGTTTGAAGCCATTTTCGATGCGCAGCCTGCTCTGTACGAAGTACGGGCGGAAACCAGTAGTTCTTGTAGAGCACCAGTGGCTCTGACCACCCCTCTTTGCTGGGAGTTTGGATATAAGACGCGCAGCATGGCTTTCGAATGAAATGGCTTCGATCGGACGAGCTATCTGTGGCACTTCCATCCTGAGCTTGTGACATAGCTCAACAACTACTCTGGAGTTTTCCAGTCTCCCTCGATGGGAGGTTTGGATGGGCATGCATGCAAGAGGCCAGTGCAGATGGTGCGAATTGAGGTGCGCGCTGCTTGCTCGCGCGGAGCATAAATAGCCCAGGCATCATGCATGTCGCCTTTATCTAATTAAGGTAAGCACCATGCATGCATGCTGTCGAAGACTCGCAACCATGTATTATAATTGATGATTGAAGAGATCGAGCGAGAACAACAGGCAGGCATGCATGACTGTAGTGCACGAGACGTATGTACGTACGTGAGCGAGAGCGAGCGAGGCCAACGCCAACTGGCCAAGACACGACGCACCTCGCCGCTCTCGGTGTGCCGGTGCAGTTGGTGGTTGTTTGGTTGGCGTCAGCGTTCAGAAATTTGGCGAATTTTTGGTGGTGGCTGAAAAAAAAAATCCGAAATTTTGTATTTGGTATATAACTCTAGACTTATATTTTCTATTGTTATTACATATTCTTCTATTTAATAGAGGTGTAGTCATAAATCATACTAATATTTGTTTAGATCTATTTATTTTTAGAAAAAATATACTTTATGTGCTAGTCTTAAAATTTTTTGCTGAAATATTTTGTGAAATTCAGCAATTTCGGTGATGACCGAAATTTTTGCGGCACCTACCAAAATTAAAAACCTTGGTTGGCGTGTTGGTCGATGAGAAACCGCCACGCACAAGACGCGCCCAACCCGGCTCTCGTGCGTGCGCTGTACACGCGGCTGCATTGCTCGCTTGCTCGCTCTCGGGTGTCTGACGTACGTCTCCTCGCTTCAAATTGGCAAATTCCTTGTGTACTTGCTCATGAGTTGGACAGAATTTGCTTGCATCTTTACCTCTGTACCGGAGATTTCAGTTTTCTTAATCTCCCAAGTCCCAATTTCCGAATGTTTTGTAACTACAAGCGTTTTGCGTTTTTTGTTTGCAGGTAGCTTGACCAATTTGAAAAATCGCACCAAGATTCAAATCAGTTTAGCCGACTTTTAAAGTCGGCCTAGTCGACCCTTTTTGAACAATAGCACTAGTGGCTGATTTTTTTTGTCCACAGGAGTTTGGGCTTGTCCCCCGAGCACGAAAAATTTGATAGTGATCTTAAGTCTCTACCCCTCATGATTTAAGACTTTCTTTCCCTTCCTCGATCGATCTCCTGAGTATGTTTCGAGGTATGTTGCAAAAGTATATCGGGATGTTGCATACGTTGTAATGGTTGTACACTTATGTTGCAAACGTCAGTCCTCAATGTTTCATTTGTTTTTAGACGTATGTTGCAAGTGCGTTTATCTGAAAGTTGCGTATGTTTTACGCATATGTTGCAAATGTTTTATATGGATGTTGCGTATGTATTGCAAAGGTTTTCAAGTGTTTCATGTGTTTTCGCAAGTGTTTCAGGCGCATGTTTCAAATGTTCCATCTGTCTTTAGACGTATGCTGCAAATGTTTCATCTGGATATTTCGAAAGTATATCGGGTGTTGCACATGTTGCAATGGCGCCAAGTGGTGGCGGCGGCCAATGTAGGGCTTCAGCTCCTACCTTGCACCTTCCTCGTCGCGGGCGCGCTTGCCCTCTCCTCTCCTCACCTCCCTTTCATTCCCTCTATCTCGCCGCGGCGTGTGGTTTGAGCTGGTGGGAAACCCTACCCGACCAAAGATGCAAACGCCACAGCAGAGGTGGTGGCCCCGGTGGGTCAACGGCAGTCGCGATGCTCGAGTAGTGGCCCGGAGCAAGCTGAGGTCCACGCCATCCGCTAGCTACGCTGGCGCAGAAACAAGCAACCGCTGGTGTCCAGATCCGGGCATCCGCCGGGACGTCCGGCCGCTAGTGACGCCAAGAAAAAAAAGCAAATATTGCATTGCATGCATACACAGTTTTAGCATGCGATACGGATGATTTCCTTTCCTGCACTTACTATAAATAAATAATATAGATATTTTTATTATTACTATAGTACAGTAATAGTAAAAAATAAATAGGGAAATAAGTGAAGGCAGGCAGCTTTTGCTTGGTGGAAAAAGTCCACATTACCTCCTTAATTTTCGTGAAAATCTGTTTTTTCTCCCCGAACTTCAAAACCGGGCAAAACACCTCCTCAACTTTTAAAACCATTCATGTTACCTCCTGGTCCGGTTACAAGCGGCTTTGAAGACAGTTTTGTCTTTTTCTTTTTTATTTATTTTGGCTGAATCTTTAAAAAATTATAGTAAATCATAGAAAATCATAAAATAGAAAATCATAAAATAGAAAATCCAATTTTGTTGGACTCCACATGAGTAAATCTACACGGTGAACATATAATATGGTATGCTTTAGTACAAAGTTTTTCAGTAGCTTTAGATCTATGTTTTTCTCAGTAATTAAATGGAATAATTCATAGCTGCAGTTTTTATGGTCCAATTGTGATGAAATTTTTATGGTGGACTAATTATTGTATGCTTAAACTATAGTAAAAAATTCATACTCATTGGATCATGTATAGCTTAGTTATAGATTTTATTTAGGTTTATGTTTGTTAAATATAAACAAGAGTTGTTAAGTTTTCTTGAGTGGAAACAGGACAAAAAAAAATCAAACGAATTTCACATACAACTCCACACAAAGATCACCCAAACCTAAGTCGACTAAAACGGAGCATCAAAACGGCATAGATTTTTTTGCTTGTGATTTGGAGATGGTGTTGGATTCTCAGTGCCCCGTTAGGCACTTGGAATCCTAGAAAGTTCAGGTGCCTCCTTCGTTAATTCAGATCTGCTACCGTAAGAATTTTTTTTTCCAGTGTCCTACCCACCAGTTATTAGAAAGCCTGTGCACGACCATAACAGCTATAACAGCTACAGTATATATATATATATATATATATATATATATATATATATATATATATATATATATATATATATATATATATATATATATATAGAGAGAGAGAGAGAGAGAGAGAGAGACGGTAGGAGATCATTATGTAATTGGCTATAAAAATAACTTATTCTGTAGCCACTTTGAGTTACGATAATTACTATGTTAATTTACGATATTATAGTAACTTCTTAATGTTATGGTAAATATCTCCATATGTTATAGTAACTCAACTATCGTAAATATGTGTTGACATTATCGTAAATTAGTATATAAAATTATCGTAAATGAAAGTGGCTACAGAATAATTTATTTTGTAGCTGGCTACTGAATATACTCCCCCTACTACTACCCTGTAACTGGCTATAAAATAACTTATTCTGTACTTACTTTGAATTACGATAATTACTATGTTAATTTATGATATTATAGTAACTCCTTGCTAAGTGGTTTATTATAACGTTATGGTAAATATTCCTATGTGTTATAGTAACCCAACTATCGTAAATATATATTGACATTATCATAAATTAATATATAAAATTATCGTAAATGAAGGTGGCTTCTGAATATACTCTCTCTCTATGTGTGTGATACGCAGCACAGCAGCAGCAGGCAGCAGAAGAACATAACATAATGCAAGCTAATTAAGGTAGATTTAGTACTATATTATACCAGTACCAGCTAGCTAACTAGTAGCTAGGCTGCTGCTGCATGCATGCTGGAAGGAGAAGATCCGTGCAAGGAAGTACTTGAGTACTTGACAAGCATGGCCTTGTTTAGATTCTAAGTTTTTTCACTCTCTTTTTATCATATCAAATTTTTGAACACGAGTATTAAATGTAGGTAAAAAAAATAATTAATTACACAGTTTGATTGTAAATTACGAGACGAATCTTTTGAGCCTAGTTAGATCATGATTAGATAATAATTGTCAAATACAAATGAAAGTGTTATAGTGTCAAATACTGATTCCTAACCGCAAACTAAACCAGGCCTAGGATGAAGCAGCCGAGGCCGCCCATGATGCCCCCAGAGACCGTACCGCCTGTGCACGGCCACTGTGGGGCCAGCCGCCCCTGCTCGGACCCATGACGAGCTCCATCATGTCGACGACGGCCACCCCCACGAGCCCGACGCCGGAAAACAGAGACATCACCTCCTTAACCCAGTCCATTGTCGGTCGGCGGTGGTTCAGATGCTGCCCGCCTGCTCGTCGTTGCACTCGGCCTCCTGATGGGTGGTTCTCTACATCCTCCTCCTCCTTCCATAGCCAATTAGCCATATATAGGCAGCCAGGCAACGATGCAGGCCAGATTAGTTGGAAGTGGACAGCAGATGGAGAATACAGCACAAGCAGTGCCTCAGTTCGTTGGTGTCTGCAGTAAGATGAGACTAACTCCAATTTGGAAGGCTAGAGCGGAGCACAAATGTGGATTCTTTGCGTGGACTTTGATGCATAAGAAAATTCTCACAGCAATCAACCTATTCAAGAGAGGATGGACCGATGACACTGATCTTGACTGTAAGCTCTGCGGTAATGAGCCGAAAACTCCGGTGCACCTTTGCAAGGACTGCCCTTATACCAAAGAGGTTTGGGCCACACTGAGACGGTGGTCTGATCTTTCGGCACTAGATTCAGTTAGCGATTCAGGTTCGCTACACGCTTACTGGTGGAGGTGCCGGAGAAAATTTGAGAAGAGACAGAGAAGGGAGGTGGATGGCATTTTCATCTATTGGTGGTGGAATATATGGAAGGAAAGGAATGGAAGAATTTTCCAACAAGAATCTCTAAACCCAATCAACACATGTGGCTACCCTGTGCAAGAATGATGTTCTGTCGGTTGGCTTTGGCACCAAGGAATGAAGCGCCTCAACCGGATTAGTGAGGTATTTTTCTTTAGACAGTCTTCCTTCCAGTTATGGTACGGTGCTAGCAAGCCTTCTCCCCCAGCGTTGTTTGGGTGCTTCTTTAGTTTTTTCGGGTATTTTTAGTCTAAGTTGTTTTTTTTGTTGCCAGTTGGGGAGGAGCCGCCGGGTGATGTAAATCTTTGTACAGTTTTTACCTTGCAAGGCTTTTGCCGTCCGTTCTAAAAAA